TCCAGAAATGACAGCTTTCAAGGAATGAAGATTGTTCAACTCAAACAGTTTCTGTATGATTCACAAATATTAAAAAGATTGAGTTAAGAATTATTCAGAGAAGTCTGTACATATGAATATAGGTGAACATTTATATACCACCTTGTCAGAACATTAAAACAGATACAATACATCACTAAAGTTGCAGACTTTGTCATAAATCATTTTAATCTCTATGTTCGGCTTTTGTCTCTGATTTATCAACTGTCTTAAAAGGCTCACAGTACCTTTGCTATCTTGATAAAATGGGTGAGGACAGCAGCTCTTGTCTTTTTCTTGTTGGCATTCAAGATTTCTCTCACCACCCAAAAGCTGACCTGCGTAGAGTTAAATGTGTGATTATTACAGCAAGCATAATTTTATGTATGAAAAAAAAGTGGGTAACCCTCCACACCCTAACATCAGTGCCTTATATTCTCTACACTCTTTTCCATACATTTTCTTTGGTACTGACAAGGAGAATTTGTTTAACAATCAATTGAAACTGCCTACAAAAGGTTGGCAATTATTTCATTTATTTTCGTGATCTTAATGAAGTATTACTGTAAGGAGAGATTAGATGCTGGTCACCCTTAGGGTTTACAGGGTTGAAAGACAGAAAAAAGGTTAAAAGCAGACCAAAATTTAAATTTTATTGGGTTTATTTTATGAACCATACAGTAACTGGTAACAAACAGCACATAGCAACCTTACATCACAGCTAATAAATTGATGTAAGTCATAGAGTGAATAAAATTAGTGTGCAATGTAGTGAATCACTTTACCCTGATTATAAACAGAGAGAAAAAAAAACCTGTTTATATTAATAATAATCAAGTTTACCATACTGAAAACAACACAAAGAGCAATTTGTACAGAGAAGGCTCACGACAAGACTTACATGGTTAAACCTCTTTGTAAATGCAACAATGTTTGGTGCAAGCTCAACCTTATGCTTCTTTGTCCAGCCAACTCCTGATAGTTCCTATAATAAATATGCATTATTGAATGAGCATGAGGTCAAGACAACTGTATACTGGTCAGGAATGAGGCTTGACAAAACAACCTTGGTCCATAAGGGATTCATTACATAAAAAAAAATTTATTTCTAATAAGAATCATGAATGACTTGTTTAATTCAAGAGCCAGAAAAGAAAGCCACCTGTGTCTGTAGTACAATAAACATATGAGAGTTGTTTATATTTTCTTTGTTTTGACTGTCTACTGTAGCTTTTTGCTACTCCATCATCAAAATTGTCTAAAAAATTCAATTTGTGCAAGAACAAAGTAGACAATCCTGAACACATCTTGCCTGCTTGGGTAGCCAATCCGAACACAGGATTTGCTTCATATTACCCACAAGCATTGCTGACAATACGACTACAATTAATATTAAAATATCATAGCTGCATGTACATTGGAATGATAATGTTACTGGAAATACTGTTTACAGAACAATAAATGGTTGAATCCAAGAAGAACAGCTGATGAAACCCAGGGGCTTCAATAGAATCCATTCACCTTAATTATTTACCCTTTACATATACATAATTGAATCACTTACATCAGGGTTGATTGCCTTGAACACAGCCAGATCCAAAATTGTGAGTTGTTGCTGTTTGGAGAAAAAAATTCAAAGCAAAGTTAATTTGCATCACAAGCAGTGTCCAGTTCATAAACATGTACAACAGCATATGTAGTTAAAGATCTGTATGAACAGTTTTCTTTTTTTTTCTTTCTTTTTTTCAAATTCTTACAAGAAAGAAACATAAACAAACACTAAATAACAAAAAGGACAAATGGACCATTCACAAAATAAGAAAGTGACTTACAGCAAACTCTTCTGGTAGAACCTTCAGAACATCAAAGACTGCTGCATCAAAATTCTTTTCAACAGCACAATCAACCTCATCTTCCCCTGATGACTATAAATTAATTGATACCATAAATTATTAAAGAAAAACAGCAATTGCTTGACAGCATATAGTAACTTTCAGAAACACACTAACAGCAACAACTGAGACATAAACAAGTTACAGTACTGCTTAGATATACAGATGTGCAGATATATTTTATACACACTGATGCAGGTTATTAGATGGAAATAGACACTATTCATGCATTTCTAGAAAAAATACATGTGCAACTTATGTGTCTTTGTTATTCAATACTATAAGTTTATTTGGTGTCACACTGTTGTGTAAAACAAAGGACTTTAGGAGTTGACAATGGAAAATTTACATTTGGAAAAAAGCCATAATGATAATTATCATGTCGCATCCATTCAGGATTTATTAAATTATGAGTAGTGGTAATCAATTTGCTTGATTTATCTTGACTCTGATGATGACTTCCGCTCAGGTTGTCGAAACGTCAGTCACCACTACCGACAACATTCCTTCTCAGGACTACACTCACCCAGACGATCAAACTACACTATTACTTGATTTATCTTGTTGATGAATCAGAAGGAAAAGGAAAATGCTAACCCTAACCCTAACCCTAACCCTTAAACAAGGCACTCAGTATCATTTAGCTTATAACAAAGCAAAAACTCACCAATAGCCCACCCAATTGTGAAAGATGTTTAAGTTCAGTTGTGATTTATTTCTACCTGGTATTCTGGTTCAATCCATCCTTACCTCGCCAGTGTAGTTGTCACTGCCATTGTCAGGAAGCTCTTCTGTGGACATTGCAATATTTACTTTCGGTGAAAGCTCTGCTTCCAATAAATGATGATTCGTAAAGGACACTTTTGGGGTTGACATTGTTGTAGCCTTATTTTCAATACACCTTGTCTATAACAAGTTGAAGAGCTGTGTGGGAAAAAAAAGGAAGAAAACCATTTTATAACAACACCATGTTATTATTGAAAATTTAGAGAGCTATGTGTACTACACTACACATGTACTTTTATCAGACTAAAATACAAGTAACTGCAGTTATTTTCATCTCTGTTTCAATTTCTGGCAGATCTATACTGACATCAACATGGAGCTACATGTAAGACATACATTGTAAAAAGCATAAAGAGAGGCTTCATGTGTTTGCACAAGCCTATAACAAGAATAACTAGATCCTCATGATGAAGCAAACCTCTGGCCATTCTACCTCTTATGTGGAAAGCTTCATAAACTGAGCTTCAGAGAATTTTTTGGAAGGTTAGCCACATCAAAAAAAAGTGATCATGTCCTTGACAATTTTTTTATACATTGTATCAGAGGGTTAGGTTCAGAGTTAACAATCTTCTTCCTTTACCTTCATGTAAAACATCAATACATGTATGAAAAATGAATGTGCTTCACTTGCATAATTTTTATAATGTGAGACTACTCAAATGTCAATAATACATGCATTTTTCAATTCAAAAAAATTAAATCGAACAGTAACATCCCCTCTGTTGATGTGCTATAAATAAATGGCAGTAAGAAAAAATTACTCAATTTCTAAAAAACTGGCTTTTGCATGACTGACATGTGCAACCTTTGAACACCCCTTTGAAATTTCCATCATACAAGGTAACAAGAAAATCTTTGGAAACTAGCAAACAATAATTTACAGTATCTTGCAACACCCATGAGTATGAATCCTGAAAACAGACAAGGCACTTTCCAAAGAAGAAATTGCCAAATCGTTTGTTTACACTGCTATAGATAAAAATAAAACCGAGGACCTCCTCTTGGAAAGTTCAAAGTAAACTCTACGTACGTGTTGTATCTGCGACCAAAGTTTACACACTGTCTGCAAATTAAACAACTCAAATATGTTGTATTTTGCAGCCTACAAGACCAGACAGAAAACTAAATTTCTCATTATATTGTGCAAATATTACGAAATAAGTTGTTCAATATGTCTTACTGTTTGTGACAGAAATAGACAAGTCACGCATAAAAAAGAACAAAGCTATTTTCTTTCTTTTTTTTTTGTCACCTGAAATAGAATATGACAATTTTGGTCTGTTGCAGTTTCGTACTGTAAATGTGGGAAACCATTTTCTATTTTCGTCTCTATTGCGAATGTTTTTAAATTAGAAAGCACGACGTGCGAACTTTACATAGTGAACGTCGATCTTAACCAGAATCCAGAGTTTCCACTCTGTTGAGCGAATAAAATGTACTCGATATTGGTTTCATAAAAACACAGCTCTTTATTTTGTCTTTTAGTGATATTAAATATATCATAGCTTAAAAACAAACTCGTTTTAGAAATAAATGAGATACTGTTGTCAGTAAGATTTCATTCCGAATACATTTAAAACATAAAACATACAGACTGACCTTTACTCTAATTTCAATCATCATTTCAATCCCGGTCTTCCGTCGCAGGAAATGAAATCCATTGCGTTGGAGAAAATCCAGCGCTCAAGGTAAGCGGAAGATACACTTGTCCACTTGTAAAGCTGTCAAAGCACGCAACACTCAAAATTTTTGATTTTTTCGGCGATTCCAATGGCTCCAATTCTTTTGTTTGCAAAACAGACCAGCTAGATATTTATTCTGCCCGCGCACGAACATGAAAACGAAAAAGTAAAGTTCGAGTTCTCCTGTGTTAAAAAAGTGGGAACTCAGTTCGATACTAAACTGAAAGCATACCTCACGCTTTCAAGGTGTCGGAAGATTCGATGTTTCCCCTTCAGGACTGAAACTAAGAGCAGACGATGTCAGCATCTAATTTGAGAAAAAGGTCAACTATTCATTGCCGAAGATGTCACGTTCTTGCTTCACGTAACGACACGTGACTGTCATTAACCCTTTTGCAATAAGAGCTCCAACAGGCAAGTCAATTTGGCCACGACAGCTTTCTCCAGCGCATAGACTTGTAATTTTTGAATCGTGTGAAACGTAAATCCGCACCTGACGATAAACAAAAGCTCGTCACAGCAATTCTTTGTGTCACAAAGCAAGAAAGTCACGCAGAGCTTACTTTTACTCATGCTCTCTGTGACCAACCGCTGACATGTCTTACTCCTTGCGCAATATTGATGCAATTGGCACACATGTTTTTCAAACGGCTGTTTATGCTCACCAATGGAGTTCGAATTTAGGTCCTGTACTGTTCAAGACGGCCAATTTGAGGATGCCGAAGAAGACGAAAGTGTAGTACCGAACTCACTGACTCATTATATTTCTCATGAACCCATCGTGAAAGAAGTACAGGGGCTGGACAAACATCAGAATGGCGAATCGATAGACCACGTGAAATCTTCTTCGGAAGACAGCGACGATGAAGATTTTGATGGATGGGATTGGGAAGACGAGACAGGGGATTTTACGAAACGTTATAACGCATCAAAGTCAGAGGTTCATGTTTCGAATACCACAGGTAAACGCCAGTCTTCTTTGCAACCGAACGAAAAATCGTTTGCAAAATTTGGCAATCGAATTAAAGTGGAGAAGTACGAGGGACCGAAATTATCCAACAAAGCCGCGAATGTTCTGATCCAAGCCAATAAGAAGCTTGAAAATGACAGAGTGCGTGCTAAAGATAAGGCAGACAGGGCCACTGTTGAACAAGTTATGGATCCTCGAACAAGAATGATTCTGTTCAAAATCCTAAACAAAGGAGTGATCAATGAAATAAATGGCTGCATCAGCACTGGAAAAGAGGCAAATGTATATCACAGCACGAATGCAAATGGTGACGAGAGGGCAGTGAAGGTTTACAAGACGTCCATTCTTATCTTTAAGGACAGGGATAGATATGTGACTGGCGAATTCAGATTCCGTCATGGATATTGCAAACACAACCCCCGAAAGATGGTTAAGACCTGGGCGGAGAAGGAAATGCGAAACCTTACGCGAATGTTCAATGCGGATATCCCTTGCCCAGAACCGATCATTCTTCGCAGTCATGTTCTCGTCATGAGCTTCATTGGGGTGGATGGCTGGCCAGCTCCTCTACTCAAGGATGTCACGTTGTCGGAATCTAAAGCTAGAGAACTGTACCTCCAGTGCATTCAGATCGTACGAAACATCTACTGGAAATGCCGTCTTGTTCACGCCGATCTGAGCGAGTTTAACATGTTATACAGTGGGGATCAGCTGTATGTGATTGATGTTTCGCAGTCTGTGGAGCACGATCATCCACACGCCTTAGAATTCTTACGAAAAGACTGTACAAATGTTACCGACTTCTTTAAGAAGAATGGAGTCTGTGTCATGAATGTTCGCGAGCTATTCGACTTTGTAACAGATCCCACCCTGAATGACGACAATGTGGACGACTATCTTGAGAGAGCACAAGCGATCATCGCTAATCGTGGAGTTGAGGAAGAAACCCCTGAAGAGACAGTGAAGGAAGAAGTGTTTAAGAAAGCTTACATTCCCCGAACGCTCGAACAAGTTGTAGACTTTGAGAAAGATGCGCAGAGAGTCAAAGAAGGACAAGCAGAAGAAATTTTGTACTCAACTCTAACCGGCCTGAAATCTGACCTAACAGGAGTGCTGGCGCATCCTGAACTCCTCACAAATCAACCAGAAAATCAAGGAGACAATGAACATCTTTGTGTTGACAAACTGGACATCATGAATGTTGATGACGATGCTAGTTCTGAAGACGAGGCCTTCAGTGCTGACGAAAATGATACAGAGAAAGAAAAGAATTTACACAAGGAAGGCACAGCTATGAGCAAAAAGGAGCACAAAAAACTTGTTAAAGAAGCTAACAGAGAAAGGAGACAGAACAAAACACCCAAACATGTCAAGAAAAGGAAAGAGAAGTTAGCGAAGACAAAAAGAGGAAGAAATAATTGATTCGAGTGCGGTACCTATGCACACTTTTGCTTCGAAGCGAAGTGCTCTTTCGATTTAAGGCAGAATGTGTTCCGAGGGTACATTTGAAGTTCATGTAAAACTAGTCTAGGGCGCTCAATACCCCTTTGCAATGAAGGCTTCATAACATTGTTCGATGTAGTATTGACTTCTTTTTTTTCAAGTTGTATACATCTGGCTGTGTGGGTTCTTCGCGCTACAATTTATCTAATTATGGTAGACGATGTTTATAGATACATTAAATCGAATGTCTTTAACGTAGAGTTGTTTGAAAGTCCTTTAACGCTTTTATTTTTTCACTAGGCTCTAAGCTTGAATACAACCAGTCTTTCTTTCCTTGTGTGACACTTTGCGCAAGTCAAAAGAAATCGGCATTCTAAAATCAAAACTAAAGCAAACAAATTAATACTATACTTAATTTCAACCAGTTTATCGTTGTAATAACCCACGCGGGATGTTGGGTGAACAAGAGAACAGTTTATAAATCACTCCCCTCCAGTTCGTGATTCTCTCGTTCTCTCAACATCCTGGCGTGAGTTGCTACGCTGGTAAACCGAAAGTACATTCTTGCTTTTTATGAACGCACTTGAAGCAAAACACAGTGTTCTAATTTTCTATGAGAAGACCGGTGCAATAAACGAGAGGGTTTTGACCATCAGGGCGCTGGCAGTAGGTCAGTTGGTTCAACTCTTTACACCCTAGCATCAGTATGCATATTCTCTATACTTTTTTCTATACGTTTCCTAAGGTGCTGATGAGGAGAATTTGTTTATCGATCAAGAGACTATTTAGTTAGTGATCATTCCTTTATTCTCATGACCCTACTGTGTGATGCAGGGTTTATACTGTTGGGAGAAATTATATGCTAGTCACTCTCAGGGGTTAAGGGTTAAAGAATCAACTAGCGGTGCCAGCGCACCTCGCCTCGCGTCCCGGGATTTTATTCGTGCCATTTTCTATTAATTTCAATTTAGTGACAATAACTATTCGGGATTGCTTTGGTTTTGCTTTACTTCATTTCTTTGTGATTAGTCCAGAAAGTCTAACGCCATTCTTTAAACCAATTCAAATCCGTGATCTCTCCTTCGCTTTTCCCGCAGTTTAAGCAGCTGCTTGATATTACTCAGAGTTCTCATTGGCCCCTAAGAAACGTTTCCGTTGTTTTCACTGGTTATCGTTACAACTTTGGTTTTGATTTTACAATTTTTACTCCAAATGCTTTAGAGCCTGCGTGAATGATTACGCTGGAAAGGGCAGACCGCGCATAGCCTGGATAAAGCCGGGAAAGAAGTTATTTTATTTTAGATCCCGAGAAAGCTTTCTCTCTGATCTGATTCGTCGGTCGGACATTATTGTTGCTATTCAAAACTCTGATTTGTGTAATTCTGAAACCTTCTGTGATGTAAATTTTCACTGGTTTATTCGTGTGCAAAACCCGTGCAACTATGCAAACCAATCAGAACATGTCCTGTTATCTACGTGGGAACGGTTTAAAAAGGGCACACTTCACAAAATTATCATAAGTTTTGATAAATTCAACCTTTGCCGCAGCGAAGATTTTTGACCGTTGTTCGTCGTTTGTCGAACTTGTGCGACGCGTTTTGTACCATTTCTACCAACGGGCGGAAACAGGTAAGTACTTGATTACTTTTAAGTAAATGTTTACCTTTTTGGGAAGTAAGTTTCAAAGATACTTTGGCCATGTGCGAGAGTGTTAGCACGTTATGGGTCGAAGTTTTTGTTCGAGTTCGAAGAATCCGCTAATTCTGCTCAGTAAACTGTGCTTCTGTTACAAGCTGTCAGTTAATTTCTGTGAGTGTTTGCATTCTTTAGCAAAAATTCAAAGCAAAAGTAAGTTCCTTTTATACTCCTTCTTTGAAGCTGTTTTCGCGCTTAGAAGTATCCGAACCTTCTATTCTAAAATATTTTAGTTCGCGTTTCTTTCAGCAGTTGTTAGTTTTGCAACCTGCTTCTGTGAAATTTCAGAATTCTAGACTGCATTCGTACATTTTGCATTTCATGTGCGGACGGGAAAATTGTAATTTATTCAAATTTGTGGCTGGTTAGTTCTACGCTAGAGAAAGGAATTGCGAGGGTGCTACTTAACCCTTTAACTCCCAGACCAAATTTGTAATTCTCCTTACTATCAAGCATACAATTCGTATAATGTTAGTTCAGAGAATTGAGTATTGGATCAACTAATTGTCCCCAATTTGATATTTTTCTTTATTCTCATCACTTATCTGGTTGATTTCCCATTGATATCGTAAGGAGAAATTCTGTCTTAGTCACTCATGGGAGTTAAAGGATTATCTAAGGACCCTTGTTTGTTCACATCGTACCACGTTCTTTTAACAAGTGTGATAAATGTCATCTGCATTTTAGGAGCTACAGTTTTCTGACAGATATAATCCATATCTGAGACAGTCTTATCTAAGTCCAATCAAGTCCAGTTCCTTCCGTTCCAGTCTGGTCCAGTCCAGTCCAGCCCAGTCCAGTCCACTCCACTCCACTCTACTTCACCTCAGTCCAGACACAGTCCACAGCAGTCCTGATCTTTACAATTCAGTCCTGTCCCGGTCCTTTCCAGTCCAGTCCAATCCAGAACATCCCACCACCAACACAACTCAACACAAGAGCTGACTTTCGTTACCAGTACAACTCACATAAGGACTCGAAAGCGTGGCGAAGGAAAGGGCCAACGCCCCATTGGGTCTTTTCTTCTCTTCGTTTTCGTCGCATGCGAGGAGGCTGGGAACGGGTCAGTTAGAAGACGCTGATGTACATGTCCGACTGGTTAGTAAAATCACTTTGGGTTGGGACGACGGAAGGTTTATTAGATAGTGCGCTGGTTGAACCTTGAAATCCAAATTCTAACAGAAGATGACAAACTTCTGATTCGGCTCGATTTAATTAATGTACGTCTAAATTTATTTAGATTAGTTAGCGGGTCCCCTAGGGTTGGTGTGGGTCCTCCCTCCAAATTCTTTTCACTGGGTTTTCCGTTTTTCATTAGGTACTTTTAATCAATCGGTGTTCGGTTTAATATCGACTTCGGTACGTTTCTCGTTCGACTTGTGGTTCTTCATAAATCCGGCTTCCTTTACCGGCTTCGGCTTTTTATCGGCAGCTTTTTTGCTCCACATCAGCTGGACGTCGACTTCAGTTGAATTCGATATCTCCAAGTTTCTTTTGCGTGCGTTCCCGCCTAGTTGCTTCAAATGGGGCCAATTATATTAAGTCTCACTTAATTGCAGGGAATCACATTGAGCACTGTGATCGAGTGAGACTGTTGTGGAAAGCAAACTGTTTTGACCTGAAGGTTCAACCAGATTCTTAGCTTAAAATGTAGTAAACTGGATTTAAGCTACTCAACTGTTAGAGTAAAGCTATTTTCGCTTCTCGTAACACGTTTAGTGGTTTATTTCTGGTTACAGGAAGTCAGCCGTCAGGTAAGGCTTACAAATGTGAGCGCAGAACAGTTGGTAGCCAGCAGGGAATCATGGGAACAATGCACACACCGTTAGAACGTTTACCAACTGTAAGCGTAGGCAGCCTTCGACAATTGATGACAACACAAGGATGGTCCATGAAGACAACGAGAAAAGAACTGCTTGGAAATATGAGGAATAGGCCGTCTTTTCTACTAGTTCATCTGTTTTACAATGTAAATTTTTCTTTCTTCACATTGATAAGCATGTAATAACATTTTCAAGGCTCAAAATTTGACGGCCATCTTTCGATGCAGCAAAAATCGCCCGTCGTTGGTATTAGGAAGAAGGTCAGATAGAAAAGCTAGCGTAGGGAATTAAATAAACAACTAAATAAATGAAAGCTCTATTATCTCGGTCATCTCCGTCGTTCAAGCTTTATGACAGGCGACCAAAAATTGAACAAGGAATTAAACGTTCTTTTAGTTAAGCCCAGGGTTTGAGTAAATTCTCAAGTTGATTGGATTTTTCCTGTCATTGAAAGTTGAACAGACAGCGATGTTTGAGAGAGCTACAAAAACAGCGCCCCTACCCAAGAATTGAAATAAAGATATTACCCTGCGCGATTGCAAGCGCCTCTACTTACTTGAGCGTCCGGACGGAGTGTAAACGGTAACAGCTGAAGTTTAAAAATTGATTTACGTGCGTTTGCCTCCAGATTGTAAATTATTGCGTTAAATTTTCTAAGCCACCTTTCAAGCCAATTTGAATTCCTAAATTTTAAATTAGTCGTGCCTTCCTCCTTTCATTTGGGTTAATTGGATCATCTGTCAGCTGTTAGAAGTTTACTTCGTTCAGACTCTTGCCACGTCAAGTGCGGCAGAGACTGGAATACAAAACGTGGAGCAGCAGTCATCATGGAAACAAGCAGCATTCCATAGAAGGTAGGGTTTCGGTCGGAGACTGGCCCGAGGTATGTGAAGAGCTCTTGTCGCGCTGAGAGCTTGTGCGCTCGTATGATGGCGTACTCTAGATTACAGCACCGCCCTTTCCAAATCTTTTTGTATCATGAGAGTGAAACTGTCGGGAAATTATTGGGTATGCGTGATTACAATTTAAACGGTGCCGTATTTTAGTGTACAACATTGTACTCTGCTTCCGGATTTCGGCTCGACTTACGATTCAAACTTCACTTCGGCTTTTCTTCGGCTTTTCGGAATTTTTTTCTTTTTTCGGCTCGGAATATGAAGGCTTGGTGGCGACTGTCAGTCGTGAGCAAGCCACTGAAGAAATAAAAGCACCGTCTGGGATTTTCCGAGTGTTCAAATCGGGGTGTCGACATTTACTGACACGGAACACTCCGAGTTTCCTTGGACGCCAAATTTTTCTTGTTAGGTGCGCGTCCCTTCTGATAGGCTCTGTGAAGTAATTTAGTGCATATATTATTTCTTGATGTAATGTTGTATCAAAAATGAAATAAAAGAAACATGCGTGTCTGAGTGTTGATTTTATTTAAGTATAAGTAAGGCAACATAATTACTTTTAATAATCAAGTAAATGCGAGTTTGCTCATAAGAACCTCGTTAAGCCCATTTTCGGGGGCTCACACTGCGCTACTTGCAAGCATAACGATGTAAAGCTGCTCTTTACTAATAAAAAACAAAAAACTTGTGTCTGCGTCTTTTCTTTAACATTTTTAGTGGCTAGCTTTAGATCTCACCAACAAAATTTTGATTACAGGAACTTCATACTACCATATTTTCGGATGCTGACAACGTGCCAATTTCGGGGCCTTTGCTTTCGACGGGCTAAGCTTGTTTCAGCGGCCTATGTGCCCCTGTGCATGTCAGCTGTAGGGATGCCCATTTTCGGGGGTGCAGGTAATGACTTTCCACGAGCGCCCGTACACAAGCTTTCGAGTTCTTCAGTCCATTTTCGGGGACTCGCGTGTTCAAAATATGTCCATTTTCGGGGACTCGCGTGTTTAAAATATGTCTATTTTCGGGGACATAGCGTGGTTCAGCAGGTAAGTGGAAAGCGTTAACAGCGCTATAATGTTAACACATTTTATGGTGGTTCTTGTTCTAGAAAGCAGAATGTCAAGATATGTCACAA